TATATTTTTGAATCCCATACTAATACCATATTAGATTACGGAATGTCAGGAAGGCCAGACTAGTGAAACTAACCGCTGAATGCCAAAAATCTACTGAGACCCTCAACTCCACTAGATGTTGACCAGACAGACAACGCTCCCTCAATATGCAGCGAGCCAAATCTTCGTACCAAACCCAGACAAACTAAGTCGGGATTGGACCAATAAAATGACCTGCGGTCGTTGTATATTCTCACTCACGCTCTTGCGCTCGCTAATTCAGAATAAAGCTCTTGCGTTCCTTGTTGGTGAGTCTTCTTCTCCGGCACTAGGCACAGGATCAGTAAAAGTTGCGCTCGGCTTCTAACCCTATTGTGAAGACAGCATCCTCATTGAATTACTCAAGTAGACTAACCGCCCTGAGGAGCTTCTGAGACTTCCTCATATCCATTCTACTTGTTGAAAGTTGTGATATTATTCCATTCGCATCTCGCACACTGCCATTTTTTATTGCTACGCTGCAGGTCCAGTCAGTGGTCAAAATTGTGCCTCCAGTCTCCGTCTGTGTCTCACCGAACTCGGATGTCTTGTTGTCCCGCATTCGATGATTTTGTGCCAAGCAGACTTACGTGTCTCACCTGAGGGTAAACCTCTGGGAAGCGCAGAACAACAAGCTGAATTGGTCGAGGAAATGGATCTTGTTATCGAGCAAGTAGAATATTTGGATGAACTCAGACGAGCGCAGCCTGGATTGATCTGTCCCAAACTCCATCCGTATCTTTGATGATCTATTCTTAGTCTCATTTTTGCATTGTACAAACTAATGGCAGTGTGGTCTTCTGTCGTGCTTGGATTATTCGACCTGATTAGTATTATTGATTGTCAGTACTGGTAACTTTGCTTTCTGTGTTCTCTGCGTTATCGGTTTGATTTCCTCCTGATTTGATTACTAGCTGTTGATGTTTTCGATACATATCATGCAGTTACTGGTTTCTCCGGAACAGTGATTCTGGCTGAACTGACAATCTATAAAAACGCTTTTAATGTTCCACTTCTGACAAAATTCTTTATCCCGCAGTGCGTTCCGGAGCAGAACAGGTCCCCATTGTTTCTTCGCCGAGATTTATCCAGCTGTGATCACAAAAAGAAATGGGCAGTTGGTTCTTCTCTAATAACGCCCATCAGGTTTGATTAATCGCTTTAAGTTTCAAGAACCTGACCGCTCAGTCTAACAATAGCCGATTCTGAAGAATGGTATTTGACTTGTTCCGTTTAGGCAAATAAGTCAGCCGTTCTTGAAACGCAGGGATCTGGGAACTAAAGAACGTATAGCCCACCCGCGTCACACCTCAATCCTCCTTGGTATTGTTGTGCGTTCAGTTCCTGACGCTAGAGTTTAGTTCACCTGCAAATGGGAGACAGGACTTGGCGGTGATGTCATCATCAGTAAGTTTGGGCGAGCGGGTAGCTACGCATTGAATTCGAAGGCTTTGACACACAAGTGCGCGATAGGGCCATTCCTGCCACTGCCATCAACCATTGGTGAGAGGGTCTCGGGGTCCCCAGCCAGGCAGGCGGCGGTTGCTGTCGCGACCAAGGAGTATAAGGCCCTTCGGTCAGATAACTAACAGTCAAGTGATCCAGCGACGTTTGTTTGTGCGATGAGAAGGGGTTGGGGAGGGACATCGGTGGACGCTGAACTGGGCAGGCAAATGATACTTCCCGGTTTTCCAGGTGGATGAAGCGGGTTTGGTTGAGCCTTCGACTCAAAAGTCTGACCCACAAGGCAGTGGGAGGACGTAGGGTTTTGTTCGGGGACCCTGACTCTAGCCTTCGAACATTTCCCGAAGCTGATGACTCAACAGTCTGACCTGCTCGGTTGAAGGTCACCGCCAATCGTTGGGCGATGGGAGTGGGCGGCTTTTAGGGTCGATATTTTCCAACCCATCCTTTCTCGTGTAGAAGCCAGCATCGCTGCTTCCATAAATATGGGCACGCTGGTCGTCTTACTGCATTCACATCCCTGTTGTGGAGGACAGTACGACTTTAGCCCCAGACCGCCTCGTAGCACAATGATTGGTAGTACGCGGTCTCGCTGATCTTGTCATGGCTGCTCCTTGGCCTTCCTGTGGAATCCAGCCAGTGTAGCCCACGCGATCATTTCAGCACTCAAGCCCGACCACCACGTCAAGGTGGAAGATTTAGCTCGGTGCAAAGTATTGTCATGCCTCGATGTTCTTCGGAGAAATTCGTCTACCAAATTACTCATCGTAATGTGAGGAGATTTAGTAATTTTCGAATGGAGATTGTGTCCCGTGATTGAATTCAGTTTCTTGCACAAACAGGAGAAGCACTGTACAGATGTTTCGTCTCATGAAACTGAAGTACGATTTTCTCTATACTCTGTCCACCTGCGAGTCAATCCCAAAGCTGATCAGGCGCCCATTGTCCCATGTTTAGATGTTCGAAATGCTAACCTGGAGGTCACCGGTTCGGAATTCCCTACCGGATGTTTTGAGAGAGGCGCTGATGATGAGTCCCAATAGGAAAGGAGCAGCTGGACAGTGCATTTCAATACAGATTTGCTTTGCTTACAGGACGAAATCTCAGTTCGAGTAAAGTCGCAGTCGTCTGCTTACTATCACTGAATCAGGGAAGCTCATCGCGCTTGCCTAGCTCATTGAGTACGATTGAGGAATACGGATGTAGCGCTCATCGATCTGGTATCTAAATGGCAAAGCGAGAGGGACCCACACAAAACTCAATCGAAATACACTGTGGACATGTAATGATATGATTCCAGAGATGTTATTTGATATTACTGGCTTTCTCCGTGTGAGTCAGTAAGTCCTCGCGGAGCCTTTCGTCAGAATCAACAAATCTACCAGATATGTGTTATGATTTCCGCGAGTTCATTCAGCCAAATTCACTGGTCTGTTCTCATCTTTGGCAGAATGTGGCGCCACAGATTGTTCAGCCTAAATTCCGCTTTCTATTAATCACTGTCCAAAATGGCCTCGTTCAGGAAGTTGCTGTTCGCGCTGGTTATCCTATGTTATTCGGACACCAAGCATTGCATAAGCCTAAACGTCCGATACGGGGAGGAACATCTCAGTCATATTCAAGCGCAATGATAGCGCTGTGGAAGGAGAGCTGAGCGGATGTGATCCGATTACATTTTGTAGCCCGAAATGTCACTTACTCACTTCGATGTCCGAACACGTGGACAGGCGTTGTACAAACAGACAGACTGACTTTGGTGAATGGAACGTAATCAATAACGACCGATCCCTCCTATGCTGCAATTACTTGTGAACAAAAATTCGAACCCGGAATGTATAGTCTTTTGTTTATTACGACAAAATCCATCCATCTGTTTGACATGTAACACTCAATTGGGGAAGGGTATGTAGTTTACACGAGGAATGTGGATCAAACATATATATGGGATAAAATGGGTTATTTCCCGTGGAGGGCCTTAACGATTACATCACAGTAGGTTAGGAGACAAATAGTCAAATCGATCCTTGAGTTCACTTTGGCGCATTCGGCATCTGCGTCAGATTCAACAAAGACGACCCCGGTTCCTGAACACACACACTTGTCGGTATACCAAGCATTTCGGAGGGAATTTTGTCGAGAAGGGAATCCAATCTATGCTGCGAATGCAAGAAACACTAAACAGCTTATTGGGAAACGTCATCAGAGAAACTCCAAAGAGCCTCGAACCCTCGATCACTTGCTTAGTGGTTTGAATACTTAGCCGTTCAGTCACGAGCGCTTGGCTGACCAGAAGTATGATTAATTCAAATGTGAGTGAAGCTCAGTCCTCACTCACAGGATCCACATCACGTAGTTACACGATACTTAGCCGTTCAGTCACGAGCGCTTGGTTGATCAGAAGTATGATGAACTCAAATGTGAGTGAAGCTCAGCCCTCACTCACGGGATCCACATCACGCAGTTACACACTCTGACTGGCTCCTCGAGCAACGACTTCTCAGGTGGAAGCTTCACTCGTCGGTCGAATGTTTATTACTTATCCGAGGTACTTATACAGTGTTAGTAGTGCGAAGATGCGAGAGTTAAGTGGAGTCTAGCTAGTCCATGCTATCAACAGGCCATTATTTTCGGTTTTATTCTCAAGACAGTACTTATCATATCGAATAGAATGGGATGGATTCCTGACTCTGGCACGCTTTGAACAGCGTTCCTTCACGAGAACAAATAACCTGAGGCGATCATTTCAAGGAGCACATTGCATTCAGAAACAGTCGCGATAGCACAGTCGCGAAGAACACTCGATTTTGACGGGAGACTCAGGTGAATGGAAATGATCTCAAGATGGGACTTTCTAGCGTGACCAAACTGCTCTACGGACCCACTGACTAATGAAGTGTGGAAAGTACGTGTTAATCTGCACTCATCGATCTCGGTTGACCAGTCGCGTTGGAGTCACTCCGAAAGTTTTGAATTTGAGCTACAAGTGGCTGTTTACCTCACTAGATCCCCAAACTGAATTCAGTAAGAAAGTGGAGGGGTGTTGATAGGAAGGACTTTGAAAGTACTGTTGCGAAGCCATCTCCCCAAAGACAGGACAGAACAAAAAAACTTCTGAGGGTATTCTTTCGGAAAACTAAAAACATGCACGCCAATCGTGACGTAAAACCACACGACACCAAGTCAAATGCCAGAGGGTGAATGTGGGTGATCGGACTTACCAGTTGTATAGGCTATAATGCCTGCTGGCTTGTAAGCCAATGCGGAATGGGGTAAATGATCGAGTAGGTTGGACAAAGCTGGTGGGATAGCAGAGTTGTATTCACAAGTCGTGACAATAATGCGATCGACTTGTGATACGAGGTGTACCAAGTCGGCCAATTCCTTCGGAGCTTGATTTTCCGGGTCGGAATAGAACCCCCATGGGATCTGAAGCAGTGGGAGGTGGATATTCAATGGATCTGTGAAAGTTTGGAAAGCAGAGAGAGCTTGTCTTGAAAATACGTATCCTGACCGGAGATCAGATACCTTGAAAATTTGCAGAGTTTTTATTTCACTCACAAAATGGTAATGTAACGGTGATACTACTAATGGGAGGCGTGCGAGTAGTATGTTTTGTTCTTGTACAAAACCTTGGGTTCACGCTTAGGTCTATCGCTTCAGACCAAAGGCTGACAAATTTGCCACCAAATTGTACTTCTTCTCAATGTAGATGAACTGACTCAGACACTATTGTGTCTTAGTTCGTCGTGTGTATGTACCTCCTCCCACCGAGGGTGGTGTATTCACACCGTCATAAGTGGTCCAAGTGGTTTTTGAAGTCATTCCACTAGACTGATTCGGCTGTAACATTCTTTCGGTGCGTAGCTGCCACGCAGCTCGAAGGGAGCATGAAGGCTGAGATACTGCCGGGTCGCCCAAGCCTGGACAGGAGTAGTTGAGAATTCGGGGTTGGGTTCGAACCACGGACGTGTGATTGAATGACGCTCGGAAGTAGGAGTCCGACAAGGCAGTGGACGTTCTTTTCTAGGGTACCTATCAGAGAGCCAAGAGGAGTTGATGGTGGCCTACTTCGCTCACAACGAGACGAATTCCGGCAATTCACGCGAAGGCTACACTCTGTTAGATGGCGTCGGAAGTTGCCTGTCAGCCAGCAACTTTCGCTGCCTGTGTTGAAAACATATTTCACATGAAACCAGAGGGATTTTTGTGTTGATTAAATCTACACGGCGTTAGGAATGCCTTAAGAAAACTGTAGTGCACAAAGCAGGGAGCCCAAATGTAGACAGGAAGCTCGAGACAACTTAGTAGGTGAGGTGCGAAACTACTCACCAGAAGGTTCGTGGCTTGAACCCAGCCCAACCTTTTTGATTCCGCTTTTCTAGACTTGGGCAACCTGGCAGTGGTGTTGTGAAATATGTGTGCGCTTGAGTGCGCTACTTGTAATCAACACCGCACTGACGATGTTACATCGATTGGTTTGCAGCCCAGCTGCCCGGAGAACAGACCAGCAACCGAGCAGGAAGTAGGTTACTGCTCCCGCTTTCTTCCAGCTGTTAAAAACAACAACGATTAAGAAAGGATAATGGGTGGAGCCTCAAAGCGCATGTTTATAAGACCTGATCGCGAAGCAGCGCTGGTTGATTTAAGTCCGCTGGATTAGTCCACCCCCAAACCTTAACCCGGAGATGCGGGAGATTTCATTCATCTGAGCTCTGTTAACGACCAGGCTGAGAGAAAGGACTTCGCGGATGCCTCGTGGGCTTTATCCCACATGGCTGGATGCATCAGTGAGGAACGCGAACCCTCACAACAAGACAGGCTGCACTCGCTTCACAACAGGATCATGGATGTAAAATTTTTGCAGCATAGACTTCGGAAGGTAGCTTAAATATACATCCGTTTCCACGGTATTGAGCATCGAACGAAAACTGAGAGAAATAGAACAAACCAATTTCGTAAACGAGCATAAACACTGAAATCTTACCCACAACCTTCACAATATGATCTCGACTCTTCAATCGTTCTTGGACTAGGTGTAATATTCTGTCATTCAGGCGTCCGGGGCGAACGGATGAAGCGAACAGAGCTGTTGTGCCGGGACGCATTGTGTTTTCGTGGATGCAGTCACGTGAAATGAGGAAACTGAAAAGGAAGGGGAAAACTGGATGTAAAGCTTGGTGTTAAGCAACTTTTGTCGTATTCAGCCAACCGTCTAACGACCAGCTCTGTAAGACCTGCGGTTCGAAGCCAAACGGCTGTATTCAATCACTGGTTGGGAGGTCGCGGGTGCGAAACTCGTAAGATGCCCTCAATCAGCACGGAGACGCACTAGGTATTGCGTTAAGTACTTGAGTAGTATTATGCACACCACCGACCAACAGTCCCCGTTTTTCAACTCCAAATAGACCTTCGGTTCTGTGAACGAGAAGACATCTCGATACAGTTCTGGATGATGACAAATGGTCTCGAATTTTGCGAACAAAAGTCGTGCTTTCTAGAAGTGTTGGAGTTTATAATAAAGCGCGCACCACATCCATCGGGGCACTCTTCTGTCGTCACTCCTGTCACAAACTCAATCACGAAACGCCAACCGCAAAGCAGCACAAATTTTATGAAAGACTGCCGAGTTTCGGATTTGCGTACGGGGCTATTTTGTCATCCAGCTGCGACCAGTCCGTACTCTAAATGGACTGTCTGAAGTGGTACCGTGTTTCGACCGACGTTTTGTTCCTTAGAAATTCAATGGAATTTAAATTCCTTTAAATTCGTCCATTGGTTTACACGTCTGTAGCTCACATTCAAGAACCCCACTGGATGTACGACTGGACCATAGTTGTGAGTATCAGTACTCACCGGGCTATATATCCAGGAAGTAAACAGATGCCATTACAATCTGCCAGGGTATTCATTCCTTGGTCACAACTAAGCTGACCATCAGGACAGCTCATATGTACACTGTCCACGTAGAACCACTGTGGAACAGCATGATGAGGTAGAATAGCCAACTGATTTGCGAACCCCAATTTGAGGAAAGATGTCGGATGCAGAATAGTCTTCGGTGAAACGAAAGGAAGGAGGCCTTCGCTGCGGGGTTATTCATTAGAAGATGCCAACTGACCGGTTACAGACCATTGGACAGGGAAGCAAAACTCTCATTTGCATCTTATTTACAAAAACTGGACATCCATTTTCTACTGAATATGTCTTCTTGAACTTTCCTGGACATTCATTGACTCCAATCATTCATCACTCAAATCCAAGTAAATGTTACAAAGCGACTCCACAAATTCCGCAACAGATCTCCATTTCTCAAGAGACGCAAGGCGAAATTCCACGAACAACGCATACTACTCGCGTGCCTCCCCATCAGTAGCATTACCGTTACACAACACCCATTAAAGGTCGTTCGCATGCCATTGATTTTCATTTACCTTCGGTGAAAAGGGCAAAAAAGCCCACCTCACACGGATGCGAAAACCACATTGGTTATAGACGATTGCCGGATCACATCACTCTTGTTTGGACAGTTGTCATCCTGTCTTGGAGCAATTATTCTGAGGAGTCCACAGCACTTGACTCGAGTTTCGCTCTCATTAGAGCTAGTCAGCAATGCAGAGTTGAACTCCGCACATCTGACATACCAGGAGAGTGTGTTACCTCACTTGCACAGGGTTTCAAAGAACCCGACATTACCATGACTAGTCCTGAGGTTTCCTGGACATAGTCCGAGTCAGAAATAAACAAACGGAAACAGCCAGGCGATTGATGGTAGTGTGAGAAGAACGGAGAGACTGAAGATGAAGAAGTCTATAAGTGGAACAGAGGAAGAATAAATTCACGAGATAAGTGAAACTTCCACCTGAGGTCCTCATTCGAGCAGCTAATCAATAGATGGCCTGATTTCCGGGATGGGGGGACGAATGGCGCTGTACCCTCTCTAAGTGCGAGTTAATCACATTGTTGATCAGCCGATCTTGGCCGAATGGTTCGGCGCTTAACTACTAGCCGGAAGGTCACAAGTTCAAAACTCCTTGGAGCTTCGCACACAGTTTATGGTATCAAATAAGGATGAGTTTTCAGAATAGATTGGCTTTGTTCATACTCCGAAGTATCCACAGTCAGAAGCCTCAGAAAATTCCCACTCAGCCGTCGGTTAGATGCGGGGTTGGTGCAGTAGGCTCATTCGACCGCATGTCGCTCGCAAGTTCCATCAGTAGCATATGCCATCACACCTGTAACACATCCCGTCAATAAAAGGCTAAGAACGGCTTGACCAAGTCATAGGGGGATCGCTTGGATTTCGGAAAAACTGCTTACTGGATGTGAATATTGGATGTGATAGTGTCGTTTCACCGAAGGAGGTGGCGAGTGACATCAGCGCCTTTCACTTGCCACGGCTAAATTCTGGGGTGCGCTAACCCGCCAGGATGCCGCTCGGATGGGCGTAAGCTTGACCTCAGATCACGAAAGTAAGGGTATACAAACTGGCTGTATGTATGAAATCAATATGAACGTTGGCTTTTGCTTCAGTTTTCGAGAAATGTGTTTCACGCTACTGTCTAAAGTGGGGGAAGAGGTAAGAGCTTTCAAGGATCACCGCGCAATTCGAATGCATATGACACTCGTGGACGAGCCTGGTACAGCTTTGACTGGAGAAAACTGCGTCCCTCGTAATGGTCGCCCACGTCTTCTTGACGATACAAACTACTCGTAAGGTTGCTGAAAAATTTTCAACTACCCACGGTCAGTTTTGTCCTTCTTGAGGCTCACCAGGTCAACAGAGTCGCTGCGTTTCTGTCACAAACAAAAGATTCAACTGGAATTCGGTTGAGTAACCCGTTAAAGCCAAATTAGTTTGCAGACGAGAATGGTTCGCGAATCACGTACGATCTAGACACATGTAAGAAAAAAAGTCATTCAGCTCTAGCACCCTTTCGGTGCCTAGCTGCCATGCCACCCGGAAGGAGGGCTGGAATACTGCCAGGTTTCCCAAGCCTAGACAGGGGAAGTCGAGTGGCAGAGGTCGGGTTCGAACCACGGACCTTCCGGTCGGTAAATTCGCGCTCTAACCACTTGGGCCATGTCACCCATGTAAGACCTATGGTTAACGAAAACCAGAGAACTCAGCCTATTCGATTGGCAGGCGGAACCGGTCTTGGGTGGTCAAAGAGTTTTCAGCAACATTACGAGCAGAGTTCCTTCAAGGAATTTACAACGAATATCTCCAACATCGTACCAACGGAAACATGAGGCGGCTTTTGAGCAGCACATCCTGTTGAACAGAGTGTAAGCTGAGTATTCTGTCAAACAGGTGAGTGTATTTCGAGACTCGCTGACGTTGCCTAAACCTCCCAGCTGAACAAGAGTTGCAACTACATTTATCGGCATTCATAATACCATAAACGGCACCGCACCTAAGATGATTGCTCTTTGACACTGTAAGGAACTGCCGAACATGGTCTGAAGCTTTTTCAATGGAGACATACGAGCCATAATCACGTGGCGTAAATGTTTGGTTAACTGAAACAACACAAGCGATAAATTTTGAAGTCTTCTCCACACAGCAATGAAACACGCAAGTGTAAGAGGCACTACTTATTTATGGGAAAGGAGTTACGTAAATGTAGGGCCACTGAACAACTGCAACATTCAACCCAACAAAAGGGAGAAGTTTAGCCACTTTTCTTCAGGAAAATTAGGTCACATAAGCAAGGGCACAATGCATTAGATATGTTATGTCTGTTAATTCGCCGACCTGTGGTATCTGCTGCTAACCCGCTCCAGTGCCTAGTGCCACAGAAGACTCACAGAAGGGAACACAACAGCTATATTCCGAGCAAACGAATACGAGAGCGTGAGTGCGAAAAGTACAACGGTCTCAAGCTATTTATTGGAAGGACACTATCTGAACTTAGTCCAATGCTGACGCACGCGGTCTGGCTTTGGTACGAGGTTGTGACGTGTTGCATATTGCGGAGGGCGTCTGACCATGATCAACGCTGACTCGCGCTGTCTAGGTTTGATACAAGGCTGTGAGGCGCTGCATGTTGAGGGGGCGTTGTCTGTCTGGTCCACATCTAGCGGAGCTGAGAGCCTTAGTAGATTTCGGGCATTCAGTGATTGCTTTCAGGAAGCTGAACTTCCTGATAGGATACGATTCCTCTTAAGAGAAAGAAAATACTTCGGTATCTCCCGGAGGATGGAGCTGGTGGCTACATATATGAAAAGGAGACAAACTCAAATTCGCCTGATCGACGTTAGCGGAAGAAAAGGTCTGCTCAGCTGAGTAGTCCACAGATCAGATCATAGGTTCATGGGTTTGCAGCGGACCAAAGTGGTGGCGAGACGGCACAAGTGGTTACTGATGGGAATGTCCGTGGTTCGAACCCGACCTCTGCCCCTCGACTTCCGCTGTGTAGGCTTGAGCGACTTGGCAGTATCCCAGTTCTCGTTCTTCGGTCGGGTAACATGGCAACTAGGTACCGAAAGGGTGCTACAGCTGAGTGGGTACAGCAGATCGAATATAAGTCTGATTGATGGGGGTTGTGTTGATTGGCGGGTTTATCTAAATGAACGCATTAAAGAGCTAGAGCAGGGCACCACGTGAAACAGCTGCACCAAGGAAATAGTACGTATGGAGGACATGCTCCAAAAAGTTCCCATGTAGTTTCAAACGAAGTGTCTGGATGATTACGCAGAAGAACACCTCCCCTTGCACATGGGATCTGGTATAAAAACGCACTACTTAAGAATGTGAGTAGTCTGAATAAAAACAAAAGCCAGGGTCAAAAATCCATTTCACTGCTGTAACACCAGACTGTCAACCCCACTTAGAATAAAAGGTTCGACTCACTATCCATTACAAACAGCTAATTCATTTCAGTTTAGTCCAAATTCAGTATGGTACCAGATTTTTTTACACGAGCGACGTGTCTGGATGGGTCTGTTCGTTAGCCTGGAGTGGAGATTAGATTTTTTGTACCAGGTGTTTTTTAATGTAACGTCTAGTCCTGTACATGCACACCGATTTCGTTCTAACGAGTCAGCCGTATAAACGGAAGTGCCTTCCTGCTTCGTCTCTCGCACATTCCTCGAGTAACTTACGGTCATCTGCGGTTCTGTCCTCGTGTATTATTAATCCT